TGCCTGCTGGGTGACGCCGGCTTTTTTATTGGTGATTGCGTATTTTTGGCTTACCCGGTGTGCCGCTCAGCGCCATTTTGTTTTACTTCTTTTCTGCTTATTGGGGCGTGTTGTTATTCGTCACGCGTCAGCACACACCGAGCAACATGTCAAAAAAAAACAAAATGCAGGCTTTTTCCCCCTCGCGAGGGCCTCCGCAGCCACAATCCTGTGCGTGCGTGCATTCTCAGCGTTTTAAACACGGCATGTGTGTGTGCATGTGCTTGTGTGTTTGGCAGCGCCTATACTTGCGGAGCAGCTGTGCGCCACAAGAGAGTCTGAAGAAAGCAACGGCAGAGAGAGGCAGATAGGACACACGCAAATTACTCATATCATCGCACACACACACACGCAGCCGCGGAATGGGTGCACTCAACCACAAAATCAAAAAGGAAAACAAAAAAAAAAGCCGAAGCGTGGGACGACCAGCGCACACACACTCTCATTACTCCCGTAAAGCAAAACACACACACAGAGGGAGAGAGAGGTCGCCCACTCAATGCAATAAAAACAAAACAGAAACAGTTACGGTGCTCCGCCCATGCAGCCAGGCAGGACGGCAGCGGTGCGTGTCGTGCAAAAGAGAGCACCAACGGGCCTGCATGGGTGTGCATGCATATATACAATGGGCACATTATTGTGTGTGCCTCGTGGGGTGAGGTGAGGGCGAGAGTCCATGCAAGGGGACACACACACACACAGAGAGAAGGAAGAGTGTGTGTGCGGGCGGTGCGTGGCTCTCTCACACTCACTCTCACGCGGCCACCACCGCAGCCGCAGCCGCACACGCAACAACAAGAAGAAGCAAAAGAGGGGAGGTGGTGTGGGAGACCGCGGTGCTGCTGTCACTGTCGCCGGGTGTCGCCGTACGATTTTTTTGAGCTGTAGTTGTTGCTGCTAGGTTTTCTCCTGGTGTTGAATCTGCCGGTGGTGGTAATCTTTCTGTAGTTGGTTTTTCTGCCGGCGCTCCCGTTACTGTCGCTGTTGGTGGTACTGGTGGTGCTGGCAGTTGTGGTTGAGGTGGTGTTGGTGCGTTGCTGGCGGTAGTCGATACGCCGGAAGAGCCTTTCGTCCCCACGGCACTCTGCCCTGCGGCGCTGTGAGCTG